TGGCACTAGTATGCTGAGAAATGAATTAAGGCCGGCGCAGAGTGACGTCGCGGCATGGCACGGCGCGGCAAAGGATTTTATTTTTGATCAAGTTATTTTTATTCTTATTTCATCGAGGTTAGAATTCATATTACTTTATTTCGATACAATTATACCGCGGCACGTCTTGGCATGCCGTTTCATTCCACAGACGTCCCGCAAGTCACGTCAGTCACAGAATTATGACAATTAAACTAATTGAAATAAGGTTTGAAACTAGTGCGGCGGCGATTTCGGCGAATGGCGCGCAACGAATGTGCCGCGACATGCCGCAACGCGCTTCGGCATGCCGCGACGCGCTTCGACATGCCGCGGCATGCCGTGCCGTGCCGCGACGACAGTCTGCGCCGGCCTTTACCATTTACGAAAGGAAAACGAGATACTATTAAGTTATCTCCTTTAGCAGGTATTTCGCTTTAGAAATTATTTTAATATTAGGGCTGGCAAATTTTTAGTTTCTGCTTTATATAACTCAATAAGGTATGAATATAGTTCCTCAAAGTTAAATTAATCCGTCTAGAGATACGGTCTCGTACGAAGACTACATTAGACAATGGCTCTACTATTGCTAGCCAACCCCGTAATATGAAAGATAGCCTGCCGACACCAATGTTGTCTTTCGACATGAAACTTATTTGAATCCAGTAAGGCTTACTAGTATTACTAAAGTCGAAACTGATCGTAAAAACTATTACATTGTGCCATCTAGTGTTGACAATGAAATTTTTGACTTAGGAGTTCCGTTACTCAACACTAGATGGCACTATTATTCTATAGTTCTTATACTCGTATAACCGACTTAAAGCCAAGAATCCTATAAATCCGATGTCATCTACTTAGTAGCCACACACTTCGACACTATCCGAGTAGCAAAGAATTAAGGTCTTGGTCCATCCGATCATAAAAGAATGTTGGACTTTATCACGACTTTTCGATACTGCAATCAGATCTAAGCTGAATGCCGTGATTCTCGAGATTGAAAATGGTGCGGTAGAGATAAGCTATTCCAGAGTCGACAGAAAAACACCCTTGTAACTTTGAAAGCGAATTTTAAACGGCAAATGTTTAAACATTGTGTAACGAATTCCTTCGCGTTTGCCTCACATGCTCCAAAGCCTTTTTTATAATACCCGTCACATGACGGGGCGAACAAGTCGTGCACCTGGTGGTAAGCGACACACTTATCCATAACTGTTGCAGTGCCACTCAGAGCTATAAAGATCTTTCTGCCTCTGCGCCCGTGACATAAGTTGACAAGTCCCATGTCCCCGTAATTTCACCAGCACCCTTACCCTTCAAAACCGGAACGCAATAATACTCACATTACTGCTTTGCGGCAGAATAGAGTATTTAAAATAAAACACACTTGTTGAAAACATTCATTTATTTGTGTCAAAAAAGTACGATAATAGTCATGCAACATTTTGGTGACAATGTATTTTTTGTTTTATAATGTGCAGGGATAGTGCAAGATATGTTTCTATGGTGCACCACAACATTTAGAGTACATAAACTTATTTTTGACGAGGAAATTGATTGGAATATGAAAGTAAATGTTATATGTTAGAAACTCCCGTTCAATCTCAGAGAAAATTGATGGATATAGGTAATTCGTAGCGAAATTACAATTATATGTAACACAATTCCAAAAAGTATTATCTTTTGAAATTTATAAAAGGTTAATTTAAAAGTTTACTAGCCAGGAGTTTGCGACAAAAACGTTTCCATCCTGCGCACATACAAGCCGTGCTTGTTACCTTTATATACACTTGGAGTACTTGTCTCATGCATGCTTATATCCTCGACCTAGTAGACCAATGCAGTTACGGATAGAATGAGTTTAGTATGACAATAGAATCTTCTTTTCGCTACACGATCACGTACTTAACACATACTTTTAGTTTCATTTTCTGACAATGAATGTATCATTTAATAATTGTTTAAATTACTGTTTAATTTATTAAGTACGAAATAATGAAAATACTTCATTTAAAATTTAAAATTTCTATAAAATAAAACTTTATATTGAAAAATAAATTCATATATTTTTGTTAAAATTTTAACTTCATTTATTATTTATATAGCTAATTTCTGAGTCACGCTTACTTACGTTTTTAGGTTCATGGTTCCCTTAAGAAATTTACGAAAGGTGTAAGGAGTTGGATCCTTAAATGGCTCATTGTCAAAACTTGTCATAGCTAGCATTTATTTGTTTAAGCCATTTTTACATAGCTGTATTTATTTAGATCACATTTTAGACTCAACAAGAATAGCAAATGAAGAACAACATCGCCCGGCAATATCTTAATCATTCGTAAACGAGACTCTAGAAATCAACTTCGTATAGAGTTAAATGAAAATTTAACTCGTTAAATGCACAATGAACTTACGTTAATACGATAGAGAACTCTCGTCTTGAGCCCAAGCAATGTAAAACTATAACTAGGTATTTTAACAACCTTTCATAAGTAAAAACCGAGTGCAGTCTTGGGGTAATAGATTGCTCCTTGATTATAACAAGATGTTAGTGACCGCTAAGTGCGCAGACAACTGTACAATAGCAAATTTGAGTGCAGTCGGCACGAATGCACACGAACATTTCTATTGCAAAATAAAAATGTGGGTGCAAGCGGCACGAACATACACCAACAGCATTTCTACTGCAAAATTGAAATTTGAGTGCAGTCGGCACGAATGCACTCCAACAACATTTCTATTGGGTACAATGGGTACTACATTACAGAATAATTTAACCGAGTTTAAATACACAGACTGCAAATTTGAACGCAAAATACGACATAAGGTCTAATTCTCATAGATTATTTAAGCGTATGGTCCACAGTACCTTAATTATAATCAAATAGCACATACAACCATATATTATAATATTGCTTCGACAACAATCTACTAAGTTTAATAGGACTACAACTACGTGTGACAATAAATAATAATAATGCTTTAATTATAATCAGAGCGACGGCGGCGCGGTCATCCAGGTTATCTCTTTCGCTCGAATTAGATTTAAACATGTAAGAAAGAGAAAGCATTAGTGGTCGCACTGCCGCCGATCTGCATATACAGCCTAAGGGGTGATCGTGACCTATCGTCGGTGGTGTGATATGGCAGAAGAATGTAAATACATAATAAAAACCAAGGAATATATTATATTGTATCAGCCTGCGTTGCGTTATGATTTATACGTAGTTACCATTGACTTACAATTATATGGACGTCGGGTCCGCGCTAAAAAGTGTCCGAACTTATAGGGCGTTAAAATCGTATACAGAGCGTCATTCACGCTTTAGTCTTCGTTTGTTTCACTGACATCGAAGCAAGCAAAATTAGACAGTACTGCGATGACATTACAATTTAAATTCAACGTTTTAGCTTTTCAATATTCCTTTACAAGTCACTACGTTTAAATAGGTTGACTTGGGACATTTTTTTCGTGGTTTTTGTATTAGACCCGTCGTCCATTTATTTGTAAGTCAATGGTAGTTACGCGTTGTTTTAACACACCATGTGGCATCGCTCTTACAAGATTCAAAATGTGGATTGCTGTTCACTTATCAATGTTATTTACTTATAATAAGTGCGTTTGCGCTGCATCCGACTCGTATTCCTTCCGAATCCGAGACTATAAATATACGAATACCGCTTTTATACCTAGACATAAAATGATCCTTGTGACATTTCGGACTGTCATTTCTCGGAAATTTAAAATTTTAAGTGAAAAAAACTGACTGAAACTGAAAAAAATCTTTTTATTTGCCCAAAAGGAAGATGCTGAATCACCCCAGGGTCATCAAAATATGTTGTAAATTTAAGACGTATCTATTTTGTATGTTTCTGTTTAGGATAACTGTCGTGCTTTTGTTTTTTTCTCCCTTCAAATATTTATTTTGTTCTTTTTTTTCCACTTTTTACCATCTAAGGAAATTTAAATCGCTATCGGTTTTTACTATGCAAATTATTATTATTATTTTATTTTCTTTTCTCAAATAGCTTAATTCAAGGTCTGTACTAACTTTGTTCTATTAATTGCTTGTTACACAAACGTGAGACCACAGCTCCTGACAGGGAGGTTCTGGCTGAAAATCAGAGCTGTGCAATCTAAATTTGCATGTTAGATTTTTCATTTGTTTGTTTTCTGTTTTTTGGTGTGTGCGTGTGGCAAATAAATGAAATAAACGGTCACTGAATAACTATAATAACTTGCCCGACAGCTACACTAAATTATCTAGTAACAAAACACGAATAAGAAAGTTAAGGCAATTGTGTGTGATCAGCTGATTAAATATAAGGACGACAGCAGCCTCAGCATGTATGTGTGCGGTATATACCTGTTCAGCTATTTTGTTTACGTAGGCTGATACAATAATGGTAAATAATAAAATGAGCAAGTAAGTGTGACTTATCTACTTACATTTTACCAAATCAGTCAATTAGGTTAAAAACTCGAGTATAATTTTTTAAATTGTATTTTTTTATACATCATCATAAAATATGAAAAATGGCAAAATTGAAATATAGATAAACCGTGTACATATAGATATAACTCATTGCTAAACTAAATACATAAACTTAATTTATACAATGTAAGAACTAAAGTTATAATGTTAATTTTTAATACAAAATCTATGCTTAATACGAAGTCTACGCATGAGTCGATGGTCGTTATTCTCGAGTGAATTGGAATAAATTGTTTTTTTTTTCGACAACGAATAACCAGAATACGCTGAAACTAGCGCACTAAGTGTGGCGAGTGATAATGAGGACCTTCCAAAGATGGCCTAACTCCTATGTTACGAAAAAGTAAAAATCAAACGTGAGCTTTTCGGATATTTATTCCGTTTTTTTTTTAAAAAAAAACTAACATTCAAATTGACATTTAGATAGCAAAATTTAAAAATAGAAACAGTGCACATTTTTCTTTCCACTAAACAATGTTACAATTTTTTTATTTAACAAGTACAGCAAACTTAAGTCGGTTAATTTTTTTTTATAAAATACAGTTATCACATAGATAAGTAATTAAGAAGAAAATCTCATACACTGTTTCTATCTATGCAATTTTTGTAAAAAATTTAGCTGTTATCGCTGTCCGTGATCGTGGAACTTGTCATTCTAATCACAGGATTCTGTGTAGAATCACTGGAATCACATTCCACCATCAAAATCTCATCAGGGCTTTCGTTCCTATCTGAGTTACTCTCTGTATAAGTTCCAGTGGGTGATTTATCCTCAATCACCGCCTTTAGATACGACTCTCTATCCGTTATATTTGTATCCCGCGCAAGCGCAAGTACATCCAACGACATCATGCTTTTGGACTTCTCAGTTTTACTTATAGGTGGGTTAGTATGCTCGTATACAACCTCACGACTTATAGACTTAGCTTTATTAAGACTAGAGTCATTTTTCAAAGTATCACTTGGTGGTAGAGTGTACTTGCTACCACTGTTAGTGCTAGTCGACGGAGCGCTGGAATTTCTCGGGGAACTAGCCGTAAATTTCGACCTTATTTTCTGCTGGTTATTTTCCTTCATCATGAGCAATTGATCTAGCTTATTTATCGTTTCGTTTAGTTCTAGTGCCCAGGCTTCATCGGTCTCCACGTCTTTCCTGTCAATTGGTTTCAAGGCGAGTTCTCTTACACGCATGCGCAGTTCTTGTAGACTGGAGTCTTCGTCTTCAGGATCCTTTACGATTGCACTTTCGTCAATTACAGGGTCCCTTTCTGCCCCTACGCCTGGTTCTCTAGGACCTACAGGAATGGTATTTCTGCCTGGTGGATACTCACCCCGTCTCCTGTGGATCTCTTCAGAGATTTCCTCTAAAGCTTTTAAGGACTTGGAGTATCTGAATTTAGCGTCTGCTATAAGGCGTTGCAGTTTCTCGATCTTGGCGTTCTGCATTTGGAGTTGCTCGTCGCAGAGTTTCTTCTCTTCGAAATACAGACGTGATTTGATAATGTTCCGTTTTAAGCTCTCTTCCAGTTGGGTCACCTGTATTTTGACAAATAAACTAGTTAAGAGATATTTGGGTGCACCACTTCAATTAATATTAGGTACGACAAATTTTATAGACATGCTAAAACCTGATAGGCAGAACATGCAAGAATTAAATTCTTTGAAACTTTGTTCAAAATGTTTGTGGAGGCCTTACAAAGTCCACACAGTATTGTTACACCATTGAATATATAACTAGAAATAGAGACGTAATAAGGGCCACTAAGCCCAAGCCCTTTTAAATATCAACTCTCGTTTGCGCTGAAATCACAAATTAGAAAGCTGAAATAGTACAGCGCCAACAACTAATCTGTGGTACGTCTCCGTATATTCCAAAAATATTCTGTATTTATTGTGTAGCGCATCAGCATCAGCGCTCACACCAATACGCCAACACGACGCTGGCTATATCGCCACTGAGTAGCCGCGCGTCAGAGTGCAGTAAAGTGTATCACGATAGCGACACCGCGACCATGGTGGCGCTACCGTCGGTACTATGTAAACGCTCTAAACTACTTACTAGTTAAGAGACCAAAAAATGTACAATGGTAGACTAATTTGAAAATAAATTTATGACTTCTGTTCCTGACTACTGTGTCATTACTTTAAAGCAAGTAACTCCTAAAATCGTAATAAAAATAATATCTCTAACTATAGCGGGCTGTTCCATTCGGCGGTGTGGGAAAAACAGCAAAACATCTAATTACAAAACAAACGGAATCACATTTCATCGGTAATTAAATATATAATTTTGCAATTTTCGTCCATTATAGCAAAGCTCAAGTTAACTGTCTCCATTTCTGGTTATATACTCGATGTGTTACGTCCACGAACACGAGTAAATATCTATTCGCAATGTTTCTGTTTTCGGCTGTCGTCGCATCTCTACAAGTTGCCCTTGGCATTTGGTGCAGACCGGACGCTCTTAATCGACTTGGATGTGGATAGAGTAGCTATTGCTCTTTATTTTGGTTACATGTTTTTGAAGGTGAAATAATTTACATTGAAAATTTGTCTGTTTTATGAGTACCTTTCTCTCAGCTGTGATATACGCAGCAGCCTTTTTCTGGTGCTCTCGGCCACTATCCGCCTTGCGTTTCTCTGCGTCCATAACCTGAAATTAAATAAATAGTATATTATTATACATTATTATAAGATACAGGGTTCTTTGTAAATTATTAAAAACCTCTCAGGACTCATAAACAACATATTTTTTTACACGACTTTTTACCAAACATAATGAATTTACCAAAAATAAACTCTTACGTATCGAGTTCTTAGATTTTCGCGATTGTTACACGTAGCAAAATGAAACTATTTTTCCGGATTTAAATCGCGTATATTTGTTTTTCAAACAAACCAAATCGCGTATATTTGTTTTTCAAACTTCCGGGCCCTTTACAAGTTCCATGGTCACGGTTGACTGTCAACAGTGACCGCGACAGTGGAATAGAAACTATTTCACGGCTGACTCCCATCATGGGAGTATACGCGATTTAAAACCGGAAAAATAGGTTCATTTCCTATAACTTCTTATGTTTTTCTTGTACTATCTGACACTTTTTAGATCTGTATCTAGTAGTAAATTCAAACATGCAAGAATTCTCCTCGCCGACTCCGACCCCGCACAGAGTTATCACGTTTACCGTCTATGTAAATATTTTTAATTGAAATTTGACGAATTTAATTTTCATTTCGGGTTTAGTGGGGTAGCCCCCCCCCCCCCCCCCCCCGGAGGAGAGTCCCCCCATTGCCCCATCAATAAAGATTTCATCCAGTCAAAAAAAAAAGATCACTCACTTTGATGATGGCATGATTGAGCACCTCTTGCCAGTTGCTGTCAAACTGCCACTCGTCCTGCTTGCTCACGAATCGCTGTTCAGCTAACGTCACGGTCTCTTTTGCAGCTGCGTGTAGCTCTGTAAGACGTGGACAATGTCATTAAAAGGGTATTGGGGTTTCTCGATCTTGGCGTTCTGCTGTATTGTTTGATAATCAACACAAAACATATTCTGAAACACCCCCGTTTCTTTCGACTTAAGTTTTGATTATAAGGTGACCCTCCTGATCCTTCGAGCGACTTGTAGCAGCGATGCAAACGCGATGGAGTAGCGATACAGTAGCTACTCGTCTACCTTTACACACAATGCGCGATTGCATCGGTGTAATCGCTTAAAAAATTACAAGTGTAGCGATGCATTTGCGCGTTTACAGCGATACAATCGTGTGTTTGCGTCGATGCAATCGCTTATAAATCGCAAGTGCGCGTGCACACGCTAAGAAATTCATCGTGTCTGCTACAGAAGAGATGAGAATGGTCTTGTACACGACACGAATGCTTTCGGGCCGACGTGTGTAGGGTAAAATGTGTCAGTGCATTACGAGTCTTCCAGGTAGCTGTCGTTTTACTACCGACTATGGGAAGGAATATGTTGTTGTATATGTTGTCTACTAAGCAACACCCGTCCACGCGCATAAATGTTCGTTTACTGACAATCCACCTCACCCCGCCGCAAACAATAGCGGCAGAGCGCGTCATGTTGGGGCAGACAAGTTTTTTTTCTTGTCCGGCGCCGAGTCAGTGTACACAGTTCGTGTGTAGAAACGATACGAATTCTTCCATAGACGACGGTTCTTAGCGTGGCGCCCTTAGTGTATACGAGAAGGGCACTATAGCCTATGCAAGCACAGGGACCTTCTCGGTCAGGTCCTGACCCCAGATCAGCCTGTTTGCACCGATTTCACCCGGTTCTCAAAAGGCCTTGGGTGAGCCGCCCCGCGTGTACGTACAGCACCCTCCTACTTTCCAGGTAGGTACCGGAGCTGTAGGCACGCTCACTTCCCGTTGCGCAACGGTTACACTGCTAAGCCGTTGATTCAAATATTTTGGAACATTCAAACTGACTGTAATTTAAAAACTAATATAACACCAAAGGGGAAATGTTCACGGCCGTTGCAGACCGGTCATACATGCGTCCGGGACGAACGCGCGGGTCATATTTGCAACTCTAGTAGATATGTAAAACAATAATTTTCCATCTTTAAAAAATTATATAAAAATATGATTTCTACGACTCTGCTACAAATTTACGTCATTCTAATTTTGTCGACATATCAAATCGCACGGATTATAGTAAAATCGCTATTTTTCATTACCAAAAATGCAGATTTTTCAGAAATATAAATATTTATCCTATATTGTTCCACCTTTGAGAATTAACACCATTGTCAAAAGTTGAAGATACTGACTGAAAACAATAGAGTCATTATAAAGATTTTTTTGCCTATGAAGAATATATTTTTGCTTTTAGCTATACAATTCTATTTTATAATTCACGCTAAATAGAACTTCAACAGATATATCTAAACGTAGAACATAACATGAGCCAATCATATTTTTCAAATTTTTCAGAAATTAGAAAATTTTTATTTTAGACATTCGTAAAAAATTCCAGTATGTGAAATTTTTCGGAAAATTACCCAACAGCAATTTGGTATCGGCTAGACCGCGATTATCTACAACGTATCCAGCAGCAGCAAACTCCTGTCCGTAACCATATGCATTAGGAAAAAGCAAACAAAGCTCTTTGTGCTTTACACTCATATACTTATGGCATAGATTTCGCTATCAGTTATTATTTATCAAATCTGTTGACTTACCACATAAATATTCAACAAATAAAACATGTATTTATCACATAGTCAATGCAAACAAGAGGGTGTTCAATGACAAGGCTGTCTCGCTGACACACGTAATACTTTTGTAACGTATCTGATACCTTATCAGCGTCTGTTTAGTGTGGGCCATGTGTTATAAATAGTTGATGTATATTATTTACCTATAATGGCAGATAACGACGCAAACTTCGGACCTTTTCTTTGTACATAATGGGAGGTGGAAAATTTTAACAAAGGCAAAGAAGTAGTACATACGACTACGGAAGAAAACAATGGAAGTGCCTAAGGCTGCCTTTCCACCAACTGCGATGTAGCGAGGCGGTGTGCGAGGAAAAAATCCACCAATCAAATTACTACATTTTCACAGCCTCACTTAACGCAGCTCTGGTGGAAAAGGGCTAGCGGAGCTAAGTATTTGTAGATACAAAATAGCGAGAAATGTGTGCGAGGGATGCGGGCGAGGAATGTGTGCAAAACGGTGTAGGAAACTAGAGCTACTGAAAGTATGACACTAACTGACACTGACACATCGCCACCGCTCACACCGTCACACCGTATCCCGCCCGTGCATAGCTAAAAAGAACCCGTAACGCATCCTTGTACCGCGCTGCTGCACATCCTCTCACCGCCTCGCTACCTCGCACACGTCTGGTGAAGAGGCAGCTTTAAGCCTCGATTACTATCAGAACCGCAGTTGTCAAAACTCATACATGTACGTGCAAATACGTATTATACTGATTTAGCTTTCTAACAACTCTGTTATCTATTTGTTATGTACAAGGGGTGACAGATAAAATAGCCAGGTTGCTAAGGAAGTTTTCCATAAAAACTGTATACACCCCCTTTACCAAAATAGGAAAAATGTTACGTTCACCAAAAGACCACCTTCCTTTACAAACACCGGGTGTCTATAACTTTCAGACGTCGAAACCGCTAGATTGGTTTACTTCAGATACTTTCACAGTCTAATGACATTAGGTATTTTGCTTTGGGGTAATGCCGCCGATATCAATAGAATCTTTGTCCTGCAGAAACGTGCAGTTAGGGCAAGTTACAATCTGGGCCCCAAAGTATCTTTGAGAGATAAGTTTAAGGAAATTAACATTCTTACACTAGCCTCACAGTACATTTATGAAAATGTAATTTATGTTAAAAGGAATAGTAATTTCTTTATGAAAAATAGTGACAGACATAACATTAATACGAGGAATAGAAATAAATTATAGCTTTTCTTGATAGTCGTCTTCGCAAAGTCAAAAAATCATTTAAGGGGCAATGTATACGCTTCTATAGCAAGATTCCGGTTGAAATACAAAATTTGCCTTTCACGAGGTTTAAAACTATAGTGAAACAAAAACTTTAGACTAAAGGTTATTATACAACTTCTGCGTACTTGGATGACAAAAATCCGTGGTAGTAACCCGTTTAGCTCATGGAGGTAGTCTCGATCTCTGATGTTTCAAATAAAAAATATATTATAAATGTTATTTACAAAGAGCAACCCCTAGAGTTTCTTGCTCATTCTTCTCAGGGGAAACTGCCTTACGAATGAGCGGTAGAGTTTAACCATTGTGACGATTTCAAGTGTAATAATGCTTACCTATGAAATAAAGATTATTTTGAATTTGAATTTGAGTATAAAGTGAACTGCAGTTGTGGGAGCTCGTATATCGGTCAGACTAAACGAACAATTGTCGATCGTATGAAGGAACATATCCGAGCAGTAAAAAACAATGATGCACAGAAGTCGGCTATAGCACAACTCTCACACGGACTGACACTGGATCGAGTTGCATAACCCCCAGGTACTCTCGACAGAACTTCACTACATACCACGGTTGGTACGAGAAGCCATCGAGATCACGAAGTACAAAACATTTAACCGTGATGATAGTTTTAAATTGTCCAGTGCATGGAATCCAGTCCCTAGTGCGTGCAGTAATAAAAACAAAAACACCTCGAGTTCAGTTTCGCGTGTGGATACAGTGAGTGTGGTTTGTGTGAAAAAAGTGAGTGACAATGGTAACGCCACAACAACTCGCGATAAAGGTAGTCGTCGACAGCGCAAGAGGGTAGACAGATATGTCTGCTCTTAAAGCTGTCATCTGCCGCCGTCTAGTCAACCCGTGACCATGGAGCGTGCAACCGTTCCGTAATATCGGGAAAATAAAAAGAAATCATACTGTGGTAAGAAACCTGATATTGGTGATAATCATTTAGTGAATAACCACGAAAGTCTTAAAATCTATATAACTCTGATATCTCTTCTTTTAATTTTATTATTTTTGTTATTAAGTATTAATACTCATTAAATGCACCTATGTCATTTCTAGATCGAGTCAGAGGGTCGTATTCTAGAACTCTATTCAATGCTCAAGTCAGGATTGCACTTGCAACACAAGCACTGGAAATACGACCCTAATGGCAGGGACTTGAGTATTTTTGTAGTGCTTTGAATCATACTCAAGTCCTGATTTAAGCATTGAGTAGAGTTCTAGAATATGACCCTGAGAGTGGAGGGAAATACTGTAACACAGGGTATCCTGGTCAAACATGTTGTCATTTCAACCTTTGTATGCATTGACTAACAATTATATGGACGTCGGGTCCGCGCTAAAAAGTGTCCGAACTTATAGGGCGTTAAAATCGTATGCAGAGCGTCATTCACGCTTTAGTCTTCGTTTGTTCGACTGACAGCGAAGCAAGCAAAATTAGACAGTACTGCGATGATATTACAATTTAAATTCAACGTTTTAGCTTTTTCATATTCCTTTACATGTCACTACGTTTAAATAGGTTGACTTGGGACATTTTTTTCGTGGTTTTTGTATTAGGCCCGTCGTCCATTTATTTGTAAGTCAATGTATGTATGTACCTATTTTAAGATCAATACCATTATAATTGGAAATAAATTATTATTATTATTAGTATTATTCATAATAAACTCTTGATAATGATTGATCGTAGTTTCAAATCTAAAATTTAAATTTAAAACTTAAACCAAAATTACTACAAAACATCGATGACATAATATATTATAAGCTAAGTAAATGACCTGTATTTAGGCATCTTGTTTGTGTACGCTTTCCTTTAATTAGTACTTAGCAAAAGAATATAATCGATTGACAAGAATTGAACAAACACAAAGAAAAAATTCTTCGATCAGGCTGGAAACAAGCTAATTTTTCGACAAACCGGGGCTATTCTGCCCTACTTGTCATAACTAGCGCAATTGCATATC